CTGGCCCCTTCCAGTGTGGGAGCTGTAGCTTCTCAGGAGGAGCAGGCACAGCTCTGCACGCACGACCGGGGAGATTTTCCTGCCATCTGCCCACTCTCCCTCCCTAGAAAGAGGCTCAGCCTGAACGTCCCAGCTCCCTAGCTGCTGCTGCTGCACTGCTGGGAGGACCCCTTAGTGTCTAGGTCTTGTGGGCCAAGGACAGGAAGGGCATTCTGGGTGGGCAATGAGTTCAATGCGTTGGGTCCGTGCTTTGGTTTCACCCAGGCTCACTATGTGCAAAACCCAGGAAAGGGCCTATCAGCCTTGCTGCCAGGGGAGCTGATGAGGAGATGAGGATGTTTTTGCTCCAGAAGGTGCTGCACAGCCCGAATGGATCACCCAACGATCCCAAGCCACAGATCAGCAAGTGGAACTTGGCACGGTTCTCTCCTTGGGTGCTGTCCAGCAGCTGAGCCTGTGGCCAATTCCGAGTGACTTGCAAGTTCCCTGGGAAGCCTGGTGCACAGAGGATGGGGCAACCCTGACTCGTGGCCCCTTGAGGGAACCGTCAGCAAGCTTGCCCTGTTCCAGAGAACAGGGATGGGAACCGAAGAGTAATGACAGCTAAACACAAACCCTAAAACCCCTAGCAGAAGATGCAATGACTGACACCGGGTAATACTGAGGTCCTTGCAGGCTGTGCAGAGTACTGGTGCAGACCCGCAGGAGGAAGTCAGAATGGGACAGGAAGTCAGAAGAGCTAGGGCAGCGGAACCGCAATCAGCCACTCTGGAGAGCTGCCTCCCCAGGGTGCCATCAGGAATTCCCCATCCAGTCTTCCCCACACTGCGAGTGTCTTCACCTGCCCCTTCTCCCCAGGCCCACAGCCCTTGGCACCTACTAGTGTGAACGTGCAGACTGGCCGGGCCCTGAGTTGGGGCTGGGGCGCCAAGGGACTCTGGGAACCTTGGAAGAACTAGGGAGGGAGGTGCTTGCTGGGGGTGAGTGAGGATGTTTGGTGCATTGAGGAAGATGGAGCAGGGTGTGGTGGTGCACACCAGTGATCCCCATACTTGGGAGACCGAGGCAGGAGGATCGCTGCAAGTTCACGGTCACCCTGGACTACATACTGAGTTCAAGGCCAGTGTGTACTACACATGGAGATCATGTCTCAAAAATTTTAAAAGATAACTAAGTAACTAAAAGATGGAGAAGATCACGTGAGCCCAGCCAATGACCGCAGACACCATGCCAGAGGCCTCCGGTGCCTTTTGTCACCAGGATGGTATTGAGACTCTGGTGCCAGGCAGTCTAATACAGCACTTAGACTTGCTGGGCAGTTGTTAGATGCCAGGAACCTGGGCTTTTCTGGCAGGCAAACCAGACTGGGAAAAGCAAAAATGATTTTCAGCAATAACCTGCATGGACTAGGTCCTTGGCAGATACAGCAGTAGCCTCTCCCATAGTGACAACATTTCCATTTTTATGGAGTCATGAGTTTGAGAGGCACAGCAGTTCTGGTTCATGAACTCACTCTACAGTGATGGCCCGAACATGCCCCTGGCTCGTGTCGTGGCAGCAGGGCCCCAGCCCCTCCCCCACAGGACCCAACCCTGTGCAGCCCCACCTGCCTGCTGCATTAGGGAGCTTCCGGCAATCCAGAGGGAGCACCTGCCCTTGGGCGCATTCTCTCCTGTGGAGATTACCAATCGATGGCTGCAAGCCAAGGAAAACAGGTTGTGTAACCGTGTGGATCATGCACAGTACGAGAGAGGAGAAACCAGAAAGAGTGGGCAGTGCGCAGTCCTGGGCGCGGCTACCTCACCTTCCAATCCGGAAGCTACCTCACTCTCCTCAGAGCAGCACAGTCCGGGGTTCACTCTGCCCCATGAAAGACACCTTCCCTACCCGTCCTCAACTTTCTGGGGCCGTGGCCTATTTGACGGATGGTACTGGTTGTGAACTGTTTTGCTGAGGGAATACATCAATTAGGAAAATGGAATTGATCGTAGCACTCAACTCAAATTCCATTTATTGTTCTCGAATCTCCAGATCCAATTTGATATAATTTTCATTCTTTTTTCTCTCACCTTCCCCCTGTGCTTCTGTGAAGGGAATGAGAACGGTGACCTTTGCAGGGACATTTCAGCCATGAGTCTGAGCCTGGAGCCACTCCTGGGCTTACAAGGTGTTTCATGCTTTTGTGCCTGAGTAAATGACGGTGAAGATGAAGAGATTCAAGCCTACGGGCAGAAGACACTGTCGCTGAAGAAGTGGGGACTGCCATGGTTTCCGGCCATGACCCCAGAAGCGTATAATTTCCCATTTTGCTAACTTAGTGAAATTGGAATGTTCACATCTGGAATAAAAGGCCCCTAGCGGAAAGAGTTTCTTTTTTTTTTTTTTAATAAGAAAGGAAGAAGTCGAATTATCCTTATTTGCAGATGATATGATCCTCTAAGAGAAGACCAAAAAATTCTACCAAAGGACTGTTAAAATTAACAAGCAAATTTGCAACATAGAAAAATACAAACTTAACACACAAAAGGAACAGCGTTCCTGAATGCCAATAATCAACTCACTGAGAGAAAAATTAGGAAAAACAATACCATTCACAATAGCACCGAGAAAAATTAAATGGAATTAACTTAGGAATTAACCTAAGTAAGGAAGTGAAAGACCTGTGTAATAAAACTATAGTACTCTGAAAAAGGAGAACAGAGAGGACATCAGAAAATGGAACGATATCCCCTTTTCCTGGATAGGCAGAAAGCACAAGAAAAAGTGATATACTTCACATGACATACTTCACGTGACATACTTCAGCCAGGGCTGGCGGCCAACATCCATTAGATTGGCACGGTTCCCAGAAGCTCTGCACCCTGAGATTTTCCCTTCCAAGATGGTTGCTGGGCCGATTTAGAGAGTTCCTCCAAAATAGGACACACATGTGTAAACACCGAATAGTTTCACTAGTGGGAGAAACTGAGAGTGTAAACAAGGGTTAAAAGGATTAAAATGAATAATTGATCATTAGAGAGTTCCTCCGCAAGGAAGAGTTTCTTGCAGCTGAGTCATACCTGCCACGCCAAAGGAGCTGTTGTCACATCCTGAGCTGTGGGCTGGAGGGAAAGCTCAGGAGAGTTTAGCAGGGCACCAAAAACACGGGCAAGTGGAGAGGTGCTGGGTACCTTAGGGAAGGCGCCACTCACTGTGTCAGTGGCAGAGAGGAGATGGCGCTGACATGGATTCAGTGGCTTCCTTTTTGCTTAAAATGCTTTAGTGGTGGGAGGAGGACTCACTTCAGGGAGAGAGGCTGGTGGCGGCATAGGTCCTCTACTGGAGACTCTGACATCAGCCCCTGCAGTGACAGATACCTGTGTGTCATCTGCTGCAGGGCCAAGGCCAAGCAGCACCCTCAGTGGGGCAGGAAAGAGGGGTGCAGACACCCCAGCATCACCAGGATTCTCCTCACCAGGACCTGCTGCAGTCCCATGACCGCACTGAACTTGCTGTCAAGGACACGCTATCCAGAGCAGCCTCCAGGGTAATGGGGACCGAGCTCCATCTCCAGTCGCAGGCAGAGCACGTCCACATCTCCACCCCACAAGAAAACTCCAGCCGAAGCCCCTCCCTGATCTTTCCCTGCCCTATTCTCCCTCGGAAACACTGTCCTTTCTCAAGATCACTCCAGGACAGTTGCCCAAAGCGGCCCTCATATCAGAAATTGATAGCCACCTAGACAGGTCAGTAAGGGAATTTATAATTTCAAGAGGAATGTACACGGACTGAACACTCCACCCAGCCACAAAGGCCAGGCGGGCCCCCAGCTCACCACCACTGGCAGACTAGGTTCTTGGTTCATCAGAATCCAAGCCCTGGCCGCAGCGCTCGGGAGCCATGGAGCGTGTCTGTCTGCCCTGCGTCTCCTGCAGGAGACCCCCAGAGCAGATGCAGTGGGGCCGGGCAGGAGTGTTTGGAGGGCTGGGTTCTAGCTTACCCTGGGTCACTGACCCGCACTGGGCTCATGGCTGGTGAGTGCCTCCCTTGAATTCAAGGAGTGAAAGAGGAAATTAAACAAACGGCCATCGGAGGCTCGGATCTTCTAGTATCAAAATCCAATACCTGCTTTCACCATGGACAGAGGCAGAGTCCCACCACCTACAACCCAGCGCCCAGCGCGATGTCCTTGGTGCAGATCTCCCATGCAGAAGACAGAGAAGGATGTCCTTGAAAGGACACATCAGGACAGGGGGCTCCGAAGGCCTGTTGGTGAATTAGACAGTGCTCTGTGGTTAAGGATTTTGACACCTTGAGAAGAGGCACAAACAGGATTTGAACCCAGAGCCCCGTGACTGTGGAATCAGGAACATTTCTCACTGATGGAGCTCTAAACTGGTCCTACTGCACTCTCAACATGTCTTCCTCTGAGCACCCCCTCTCTGTCCGGCTGCTGGCTCATCTTTGAAACCTTGAGTCCCCTGCTACAGCATCATCAGCCTCCACTAGGCTGGGTTGGGAGCCTCAGGCCTCCCCACCTAAGGCTTCCACATCCACCCCTGACCCTGGTGGTCACAGGGTGTGGCTGGGTCTGAGTCCTCCACTGTTTGGGGGGTGGGGACAGGCTGCTGTGTCAACACTGTGTCCTCGGCATTACCTGGGAGACGGCTGGACACAGAAATGGCCCTCAGTGACCTTGCCCAGCTGCAAAAAGCAGCCCAGAGTGGGGAGCCGGCAACCGTGCTGCTTGCTGTCACCTTGGGGCAGGAGCTGGGCTCAGGTGCAAGAGAGGGAAAGGGACAGACGAGCAGCTGTGCACATTGCAAAAAGCAGGCGCCACATCCTGCAGGGGGCACCGAGGGGCTCTGAAAGGGCAGCGACCCTCAAGGCTCTGTGGAGCTGGGAGCCCAGGTGGTGCAGAGCAGGGCCAGGGCTCTCAACACCTGGGCCCCAGCCTGGGCACATCAGAGCCGGTGCCTAGGGTGCTGACGGTGATGAACAGAGACGTTTCCCAGCCTCCACGGCTCCTGCGGCCTCCGCACTGATCCTGGGCATCTGTGGGGTTCCACAGACGCTTGTTCCTGATGAGTAACCGTCGCTGAGGAGAGGAAATGACATGTGAGGCAAGGGTCCCAGGACCTTTCCCACACTTCCTGGTTCCAAGGTGCCCCACTTCTTGGACCTGCATCCCCTTCTGCCAAAACTTTTTCTACCGGGAATTGTCAATGGCCCCAGGTCACTGCATGCCACCGTCTCTCCCCTGAACGCCATGGGCAGCACTGAGTCAGCACTTACCACTTCCCAGGTCCCGGGCTCGGACTGTGAGGTGCAGGGGTTGCTGACCCCGTGAGAATGAGGCCTGGGTTAGAGAAGTACAGAAAGGGGGGTGAAGACTCAGCGGGATCCTGGGGCAATCTCCATGGCTGTCCCAAGGTGAGACACTGAGATAAGCCCAGGGAACATCCTTCGGACTCCTGCTTGTCAAAGCGGTCTTCCTTCTGGGGATTCAGGGGAGGCCTGAGGGAGCGCATTACATTCCCTAAGTTACACCTGTGTGCACCTTCAGCTCATGCATTGGAGCCGGGCATGTCCCTGCAGGTATGGCAAAGAGGACAAGAGATCTGATATCATCACCACTCTTATCTCGATATAAAGACCGGCTGACAGGCACTCTAACCCGGGAGACTCTGTTGCAGCCAGCCTGAGCCATGCCTGCCTGCTGCCGCATCCTGGGTAAGGAGGACAGAATCCCTTTCCACCTGAGCCATCTCCACTCGGAGACACCACCCGGGTCCCTCTCTATCCCACTGCAAACCTCCCTCTCCCCCGCTCCTTCCTGCTCCCCACCCACCCCAAATCCAGCCATCTCCAGCCTCAGCGAGGCCCTGAGCCAGCCTGGCCCTCAGGACAGTCTCTGCCTCTCTTCCACACTCATCCCCACCGCTGTTCCAACAGCGTCTCCTTCCAGATCCACCGATGCCAACGCAACCCCTGACAGCCTGGACCCAGCTGCTCCTGCAATCTCTGGCCCCCTCCTGGCACCCCCTCCTCTTCCTGAGCCCTAAACCCATTTCTTCCAAGATTCCTGTCCACTTCTCCTTTGTGGAGAGCGGTGTGTGGAGAGCGGTGTTAGCCATAGAGGCTCCATTTTGAATCTTACCCTCCATTGTATAGAGCAAGGAGACTATGTTATGAGGAACCGCGTCCTTGCCGAATTAGATTGCCCTGGAACGTGATGAACGTTCTGTAACCCCGAGAAACAAGGAAGCTCATGAGGGTGGGGAATTCCCAAAGAACTAGAAAACAAGGAAGCAGGTATCTCTGGGTAAGGGTCATGATTAACAACCGAACTCACCTGCTGTATAAAAGAGGAGAAAAATAAGCTTGGGCGCTCGGTCTCTGGGAGCCCTCCGGACTCTATCTCTTTGTCTTTCTTTTTCTTCATCCTCACTCCCCCATTCAGGTGCTGTTCGACAAGTGACGGCGGGCTCCGTCACCCCTTGCTCTACACAAACCTTGACCACAGGGAGACTGAAACTCTCCACCTGCCTGAGCCTCAGTCAGGACGCAGACCCCCGGGTCCTCCCCTCACCCCGACCGAGCTCCCTGAGCAGGGATGCCCGGGTTCCCCTCATCCCCTCATCTCCCTCCTCTCCACAGCGTTCCGGGCAGCTGTCTGCCTCCTCTCACTGCTCTGCACACGTGCAGTCCCAGGTGAGCCCCGGAGGGAAGAGGACCCCAGAGGACCCCAGAGGACCCCAGGTCGGGACCCACCTGCCCCTGCTGCCTGGGGCACCGGAGCTCTGTCTCCTCCATTGCCGCCCACGGGAACCACTGTGCCGCTGTGCCAGGCCCACTTGAAATGTGGGGACCAGTTCTACCACCCCCTGCAACACTGCTGCCTGAACGGTGCCCTCGTCCTCGTAGCCCGCACCCAAGGGTGTGGCAGCTGCCGCTTCAGAGTCTGCTTTGAGCAGTGCTGTCCCCAGTGGCCTCTTGGCCTGAAGGAGCCCTTCCCGGTGACGCTGAGGCTCGAGAATTGCTCCTCACCCCGTCTCCAGATGACGGGCTTTGTCACAAGTGAGGGGCCGTCCCCTGCATGATTCCAGGTGCAAAGGCAGAGGGGGTCAGGCTGCCTCTTCTGTGCATGACGGAGCCTCTCTGCTCTGTCTGCCTGCTCGCCCTTTTCTTCTCCTGGTTTTTCTCTCCCGTTTTCATTTCTTCGGACGATCTCAGCCCAGTGTCTTTGTCCTGTGTATCCTTTTCCTGCCACATTCCTCCCACCTGTCCCCGTGTCTGGTGCTCTTTGTCTCTCACTGTCTGTCTCTCTGCTCAGGGCCAACTGATGAACCCCCAGGCCATGGCACTGGAGGACTCCCGGATTCTGCCACCTGGATGAGCATGGAGAGTCAGCCTTGGACCCCTAAGAGGCGAGATGTGGAGTGGAGTGAGATGCAGTGTGGCTTTCCTGCTGAGTCCCCTGTGTCCCTAGCCCGCCTCTGCCCTGAGTGAGGACTGATCCTCTTTCCACAAGAGCATGCCAGTCTTCTCTAACTGAGGTTTCCCTCAGGGCAATTGCCATGACTCCTGTGGCTCACAGCAGGCGGGTACCGGATCCTCGGTGACCCCGAGACCCTTCTTCAAGGCATGACATTGCCTCATATCCCTTTCATCCCTGGGAGGGCTTTATTCCACTTGAACAGTTTGTGTGTGAAGTGCCACCGGCCATGAACAGCCATGCTGGTCCCCTTTTCTCTGTCATCCTGTGACAGCAAGGCACATCCAGTTTTTTCTTCAAGTGTGCGTATGTCAGAAAACCTCCTTCGTCTCCTGTGGCCTGAATAAAAGTCCTCCTCAATGCCGGGCTCCATTTTCTTGTGGGGACCTCACTGCGCTGAGGGACAGGGAGGGGGACAGGCAGGGAGGAGCTGCAGTCCACCCGTGGGCTCAAGCAGAGGGAGGTACAACTGGCGCCCCTGGTGTTGGAGGGGAGCAGCGCCGAGTGGGGCAGCGCTGTGTGGACCGGGAGGGGAAACGGTCAGTGCTGGTCCCACGTGAAGAACACGAAGAGCATCCACAGTGGTGCGGAGAAAGTACGGAGGAAATAACAGATGCCGCTCAGCTCTGCACAGCCCTACACAGCCAAGGCTGAGAGTCCCCTGCCTGTTCCCGACAGTCTCCTCACATCCCACATCCCTGGAGCCCTGCACTCCCTCTCCTGCACCACTGCAGCCCAAACCATTCAGACTCTTGTGCTCTGCCCTTGCCCTGACCAAGCCCACGGCAGGCCTCAGCCCATGTCCCCACCGATCGAGTTCCCAGCTACATAAAATGGCCCTGACAACCCTGCCTCCTAAAATGGCACCTATTTATGGGAAACAAGTCACTCTGGGGAGATCAAAGATCTACTTTTCCCCGCAACTGACCTTCCTGCCACTGATCCTTCCCGCCTAAAGGTTCCAATCCAACAATGAATTCAAACCTTGTCTCCAATTAGTTATAGCCAATCATCTACCTCCATGACATTCTCCCAGCCCTTACAAACCTCACCCAGCCAGCCCGTGGCTGCTGTTTTCCCCATTGCTCAAGACAGCCCAGCAGCTTTGTCCCCTAATAAAAGCCTTGCCTCGGGAGTACGTGTTTTGGCTTATTTTATTTCACTCACCACCTTTCAATGTCACATTGTTTTGTAGCATGTGAGTGAATCACAGGGAGAATCACCGCCTCCAATGGGTTTTCTTAGAATGAACAAAAGCGTACCAGGGCTGAGGCATTCTGGAAACTGCTGGGTCTTGGTAACAGAGGAAACCATGAGTGGAAGGTGCTTCAGCCTCCCTCTCAGGGGAAAGGTAGACCATCAGCATCCCTGCATGGGTTCAGCTGGATCTCACCCGCACAGGATCAGAGATGGCTGAATCTTCAACCAAGAGCTCTTCCAACTTGGGCCCTTGTGTGCTCCACATCCGGGGCACCAGCAGATCCTTCCAGCTGTAAAGAGTGGGGAGGAGAAGGCTGCTTAGCTGAGTCCTGCTGTGGGAGCCCACATGGAGAATAATCAATCAAGACATTCATTGAAAGCCAGCATTGTAAAAGAAGAAAAACTACCACACCCTCATGACATGAGTTGCAGTGTTTGATATTCTACATAGGTATCAATCACCTGGGTGGGAGAACCAGATCTTCCAAGAAAGATCCCTGACCCACCCCTTGCTACTGAAAATCTTTGCTCATTCCTTATATGCTCGCCCCGCACCGGATCCCCATTTAATCAATGTTATCTAGGTGACCATACTTCTCATAATCTTATTGGTTGTTGAGTTTTGTCCACCTTGTGATTTCTCATTGGATCAATATTGCCTAAGCGACTGTACTTGCAAACTCACTCATTGACTATAGTTTTGTCCCATCTTCAACCCGCCTTACCTTGTGGCTTTGTCCCATAAAACACCTTTGAGAAGTTGGGTGAGTGGGTGACCCATTTTCCGGTCCCACTTCTGTCTCTTAAACAGAAGCTTTCTTTCTCTCAATAAATTTTTCCTACTCTTAACCTCCATTGTTCCTAGAATTCATTCTTTGATTTTAGAGAACACCAACTCGCACTTCAGATATCTAGCAAATTTGGGAGTTACATCTCTTCCCCCTATATTTTTTGCATTGGAATGATGCATGTCAAAGGAAAATCAGCTCAAATGTTAAAAGAAAATATGGGAGAATGGACTTAACCTATGCTGGTAAGAAATCCCTTGAACAAAAAAAGAAAAAGAAAAAGAAATGCCTTGTGAAGGCAGGAGAAGAAAATGAATTCAGACTCTCCTTTCAAATCTGCATGTGATGTAATCATTTTATGTGTGTGTTTCACCCAAAGATAATGTATTTTGATTTGGGAGAGGAGCCATGGTTTTTTTTAGCAGGAGGATGGAGTTAGAAATGGGGCACTGGATGGGAACTGGAGCTTCCAGTATGAGATCTCAGTTCCCAAAGACCATTCTTTTGTTGTACCTGATTTTTTTTTTTTTTCAAACTCGGGACCTTGCACTTGTGAGGCAGGTGGCAGAACCACTGAGCTAAATTCCTGGCCCTTCGAAAGACCATTCTCATGTGAAGTCCTTGTAGAAGTGGCTGTTTCCAGCCAGGGGAAGCAAAGATTTCTGATGACTGTAGAAAATCTTGATACCAACAGTAGAGATGTTCTTTAGAACTCCTCAAACATTTTCAGAAGGCTTCAGGGCCAGCATGCACGGGATCCCACTGTATAAACTCCGGGCAATTTGAGCCTCCAAAAAAAATTACAAGACCTGAAATCTAAGACATGGAATACAAAATTTTCTTGAATCCTTTGTGCTAATGAAAAGAGAGCAGAGGAAAAAGAAAACACTCTGCCCCACAGAAGAATACTAATACAAGAAAGAAAAATAAAATCAAAATATTACCACTTGGCAACCAACACTTGAGAAATGAGTCAATCACTGTTTTTTTTTTAGTTTTTTTTTTTTTTTTTTAGTCAATCACTGTTTTAACTGTCCTCAGACGTGGTCCCAGATTCCCACAGAGATAATGAACCTAAACCTGAAGGATCTACAGAATCTGCTTGCAGGTTCACTGAACCCTATTGTAACAACAGAATTCTCAAGCCTGGTCACTGGAAGTGTTTCTCAGGCAGAATTTTAAATGACACACTCAACAGCAGAGTCCAGGCATTCAGAGAAAGGAATATCTCAGAGAAATGCTATTTCCTAGCACTGGGGACATTTATGCTTCTCTAGAGTTGTAGGAAACCCCAGGGAAAGGTGGTGGACACCCCCCAAAATGGGTACCACCCAATTTTGCAGGTACCAGCCCAATTTTTAAAAGATGGGCAATTGAAGCTTGTTTGAATTCTCTCAACTGTGGCTTTATATTAAAATCCGGCTCGTGCTGTTACTTTCTCAGCTAAGCCAGTTTGTGGTGGCAGAGTACTCTTGAGGAAGTTGGGGTGTGGTGGGAGGAAAGGAGCCTCAGTAACAGGGAAATGCTGATGTGCATGGCGTCCCGCGCCTTCACCCGTGTCCCGGAAGTTGCAGTCTTTTTAAAAGTACAATTCTTCATTATGATTTTCCTTGTCTCCTCTCTGCCTATCTTTATGTCTTCTATCCTACTTTACACCTTTTGGAATGAACAAAAACCCATTTTCTTCATTGTACCAAAAGTCTAAATTCTTGCCTTCGGTTTTTGACATTTCCAACAAGGGATATTCAAGTCAGGCTGTTTTCTTTCTAATGGACTTTCCTAAGAAGCGCCACCCTTCCCTCAGCCAGATCCTGCCACTGATCTCTGTTCGCATCAAGTTAGAGGCCAGCCTGGGCAACTGAGCAGATCCTATCTCAAAAAAAAAGAAAAAAGAAAAAAAAATAGCTGGAGACATAGCTCAGGAGTAAGGCTCTGAGCTAAATGCCAGACGGAAACATGGGCATGAGTCATTCAAATATTTTAAAAGTGACAGTAGGGAGAGGACACTGGAAACGGTGTCTGTGGTCTGCAGACCCCTGCACCACCTACCACTCTGACTGCTGCTCCTGGAGGCTCCTGGGGCTCCTGGGGGAGAAGGGGAACCGTGCTCGGGTCTGTGTGTGGTGGGGACGGTGGGCCAGGGTGGTGGTGGCGGGTCTGGGTGATGAGTGGCAGGCAACTGTCTCCAGGGAGACCAGTGAGTCTGCTGGGCCTCCGGAGGGTGTGGGGTGTTGGATGGATGCCGCAGGAGGGGCAGCACTTGGCGGGGCCCTAGGAGGTGGTGTGGTCACGAAGGCTCTTGCAGCCTTGGCCTCATCAGGAAGATGCATGGGGGTGGCCGCTATGGGGTGCAGAGGTGCTGGGCCCCAGAACTGGGGGCCTGGAGGTACCTAGAACAAGGTGATGCGGATGGTCTTTCTGAGGCAGAGGGGTCGGCAGGAGGGGATACATGTCCCTGGGCTGGGAGTGCAGGAGGCCCCTGAGTGTTTGAGCCTGTGCAGGGGTGGGTGAGGGTTTTGAGTGTGCCCAGTCTTGTCAGATACATGGGGGTGCAGCACGGATGCAGAGCAGGGTGATGTGGGCAGGGGGTGTACACAGGGAGCCGGGAAGGTCTCTGGGTGCCCTGCTGTGGGCGGGAGAAGCATGGGGTGGCAGGTGGGGCGGAAAAGGCTGAAGCTGAGGGAAGGGAAGCGAGTGTCTGGTCGCCATGGAGGCAGGGAGGGGACACCTAGGCAAGGAGCAGTGTCTGGGGGGAGGACTGCGGGGAAGGGAAGAGTCGGGGTGCGGATGTGGGCGGGGGGGACCCGGGGGGTCAAGTGGGGGGCAGCAGCATTGCCAGCCCTGTCCCTGGGCTCAGGGTCCCACATCCAGGTTCTGCTTGAGCTGTGTAAGAATGCTGTTTCACCCTTCAGCACTTAGAAGAATTCACCAAGGAAGCCTGCAAACCAGCGAAGCCTTGGCCTAAAGCAAAATGTTTCTTTGTGGTTGAATATCTTAAACATTTGAGGGACTTTAACATTTTCTCCTTCTTTTGGTGTTGGTTTTGGTAAGATGGTTTTCTTTTGGGACATAGGCACCATCAGAGAGATATATTTGTGACAACTGCTGAGCGTAGGTTGGCACATCATTATCATCGGAAGTCCATACTTCTCATCAGGATTCCCTCCTGGTGTGGTGCATTGTAGGGGCTCAGAGAAATGCGTAATGTTGTGTCCACCCTCACAGTGTCCAGAAGAGTAGGGTCACTACCCTGAAAACCTTCTGTACTCCACCTACTCAACACTTCCTTTCAACCCTGTTATTCTTTTGGTTTTAGTGTCTGGTGAGCTTCGGGAAAGGCTCCCAGGGCAGAGCGAAATAGT